AAAATATTTAACATGATTACCTGAAGAGAAAGGCAGGCTGCTTGCACGAGTGCAAGACAGAGTTTGAGGATTGCTCGTGAGAGAGCTACACCTTTTGAGACCGAGTTTTTGGCGACCCATGAGAGAGTTTTTAAACTTGAGGTATATGCTACTTGCTTGAGAGCATAGCAGATGCCAAGCTTTTTTGGCAACTCATGGGAGAGCCGGGAGATAGATTGCTTGTTTGAGAACAGTGCAAAGGTCAAGTTTTTTTTGGCGACTCGCGCGAGAGCCGCTAAGCTGGAGATAGGCTGCCTGTTTGAGAACAGTGCAGAGGTAGGCAAGCTTTTTGGTGACCCTTGAGAGAGCCGTTAAGCTGGAGATAGACTACCTGTTTAAGAACAGTGTAGAGGTAGGCCAAGCTTTTTGGTGACCCTCGAGAGACCCGCTAAGGTGGAGATAGACTACCTATTTAAGAACAATGTAGAGGTAGGTCAAGCTTTTGGCGATCCGTAAGATGATTCACCTCGCCTGGACCTGTTGATTTCCTCAGCGTTCATAAATTTTTGAACTTTTGCCAATAGTGCAGTTGCATCAAGGTCTTAAAATTTCAAGGTGGTCCAATGGATCCTTTGTACCATCAAAGGTTTCGACGGATGACATCTTGAATTTTTGAGGGAGTGGGTAGTTCGCCACGTCAGGTTTGAAAGGTGTGTCGGTTCGACTTACAAGGTAATCCACAATCTCGGGTCCTCGTGCCTTCATGGCGTTGAAGACATCACCCAATTGATTCTGCACCTCCTTAATTTTTTTGTCCCAATGATTAGGAGGAGGTCCCTTGGAATTACCATGGATATGGCTCCCATGCTCCAAGCTTTGGTTTTCACCCTTGTCCTCTTAGAAAAAATGGGTCTCCACTATGAAAAGAGGGAGCTGGAAGAGGAGGTGGAGGTCCATTGTGGGGAGCTCCCTTGTGCGGGGCACCTGAGGGGGCTCCAAAGGGGGCACTCAGGTGAGGAGCACCCATGTGGGGAGCTCCTTGATTCCCAGGGCATGGAGCTCCTCTGACTTGAGGTCTAGGCTGTGCTCTTCCTCCTAGATGAGGAGCACTTATGTGGGGAGATCCTCTGACTTGAGGTCCAGGTTGTGCTCCTCTTGCTAGATGAGGAGTGCCCATGTGGAGAACTCCTTGATGCCCAAGGAGCATTATTTGTAGGATCTGTTGGTTCTGGGCCACAAGTTGATGCATGGTCTCGAGCATCTACTACTCATTTGGTGTAGGATTGGTTGGTTGAGGAGCAATCTCCTCCTCTCTTGGTGGTGGGTTATCTTCAGGCTGATTCATGAATCTGTTGGTGATCGACTTTGACTCAGCAAAGGACAGTGGCTAGGTGAGAACTGTCGTTCCCATAGACGGCGCCAAACTGATGATGCACAAATTAGTTTGCACACCACTAGTCAAGTTGTAGTATAAAATGCAGTAAGTAGAAGGATAGAGAAGACAAGATTTGTAGTGGTTAGGTCAATACGACCTACGTCTACTTTGAATGGCTAGGTTCGCCAGAATTTTATTATCTCCGGTGCGGAGGGAGAGCACATGATTACAAGCTTTGAGAAGGGAGGAGAGAATTATACTCAAATTAGTTTGATACCCCCCAAGTGTTGGGGGAGCTTACAATTTATAGTGGCTTGACATAGTAATTGTATGACTAGTCTGATGGTCATAATGGCTTAGGACCGTTTGATAGTAATTAGGTAGCTGATTTGGCGGAGGTGTGATGGTTGGTGTGCTCTCCAAAGGACTTGTTCAAGGATTAGGGAGGTTGACTCTCTCCAGGCTGCGAGGGTGAGGCTCCTGGATGCTCCTTGGTGGCGTAGAGGAGGCTCTTGGATGACCCTTACTCCAAGGTGGTAGAAGAGGCTCTTGGATGACTCTCTTGGATGACCCTTACTCCAAGGTGGTATAGGAGGCTCTTGGATGATCCTTACTCCAAGATGGTAGAGGAGACCCTTAGATGACCCTTACTCCAAGGTGGTAGAGGAGGTGGCACTTGGATGACCTTGCCTGCTCCTTGGTGATGTAGTAGCTCCTTGAGCCTAATGAGCTTGACTAGGTTGACCACATTGGGTTGAATTTTTTGGATCTCTTAGAGTCGGGCTATAAACTTGGACCGGGCTTATAACACAAGTTGGGCCTTTGGGCCTGGCCCATCAGGGCCAATGAAGGTGTTCTTAAGTATTTATAGGGGTGAAATGGTTCCCTGTGCGTGAATCTAAAAGTTAGAATTCGTAATTCACATTTGAAAGTTATTTGGCGTGCGAACGTCAGTAGTGCAATTTCCTGCTTCACGTTCGAACGTCACTTTGGTGTTCAAACGTTGGTTGCTCCCAGTACTTCTACATTTCCATCAGAGCTCTGCAGACGCCAAAGTACTGGGACTTATTGTCGTTCGAACGCCTTTTCACGTTCTAACGTCCTCCCAGTATTTGCTAAAACTTTTAGTGAAGTTTTGACCTATTTAGAGGTCGATTTGAAAAATATTTGTGAAATATACTTTTGTAGCCCTGGAAGTTTATTGTCTACTGTAAACATTTCATTTCAAATGGATATCAAGGTAAAAATTTATGGTCCAAATACTAGGCAGTGTCCAAAATCCTTTCTACCCAAATTTTATCTAAAATGTGTTTGAACTCCAAAATACTTCCTAACTTCAAATTCATACCCTATTACCTCGCCTAACATTTTTATTTCTACTCTTACAATCCACATAGTTCATGCATACATCATCATATATATTAGTATTTCTAAAGTAATTATGTTTCTATATAAAGATAAGAATGTTGGGGTTTACAAGAAACAACATATATCAAACTTGTATGTAGCACTAGCATATTGGGGGACAAAATTAGAAAATCTTGGAACAAAGCAAGAACGTTCGAATGCCAAACAACGTTCGAACATCCCCTTGAATTAATCGAAGACCAGGCTACTGAGACATGACGTGTTGTAGCTACACTGAGGCACTTGAGTACCCCATTCAAACTCCAAACCAATTCGAACATCCCTTTGAATTATTGAGGACCAGGCTGATGAGTGCAAAGTCAGGTTGGATATGAAGTGGGGAACTAAATTTCCAGAAAAAACACAGGCCACTTGAGTGGGGGGAGGGGGGTTTAGACCCTATCTAGCATTCAAACGCCCATCAAGCAAAGAGAGAAACAACGTTCGAATGCCAGAAAATGTTTGAATGTTGTCCCTAGGTAGACTGTAGAGTGGATAGCTTTCAAAAGACTTTCAATGCCCGACACTATTCCCTCACACTCTCTTGTCCCCCCTCCTCCTTGCCTATAAATACTCCCTTGTGGGAGCTTTGAAAGGGAGGATTTAGGGGTCGGAAGGTAGAGCTTGGTTTGTAGGGTTAGACTACACCGAGAACTAGTAGAAAGCTTGAAGAAGGCTTAGATTCTCTCTTGTAGTTGTATAATTAGTCTTAGACTTAGTCTTATATTTATTTGTATCAAGGGAGATAGATCATCTTTAGGTTGCAGTGGAAACCCTCTAAAAGTGACTAGCTTTCTTCTACTTTCATTTATTCTTTTTAATTTCCATTGCTTGAGCTTCCTTATTCCCTTAGAGGAGTGAAACTCTTACACTTTTCTAGAGCTTTACCAAAGCCATGAAGGGTGGAATGTGATTCACTCATTCTTTGTTGAAGATCGGTTCTTCGCTTATTGTGCTTTACCTTGTAAGTCCTCTACTTGGAGGGATTAGCATCACACACTTTTCTAGCTTTAGCAAAGCCATGAAGAGTGAGTAGTTTTTCATTCACTCTTTAGTAAGAGGTGATGGACATGTATAAATCATCTAGAAGTTATATTTTGTGCATTTCATTTATACTTTAATGCTTTACATTACACCTGCTTATTGAATGATTGAATGTATCTAGCAAAGCGAAGGTACTTTGTATAACTATGGGTTCTTTCTATGACATGGATGATTCTTGCATAGAAAGATCCATGTGTTCAAGGAAAGTACTCCAGCTAAATCTTCATGACTACCTTTCAATCTTCACCATTATTGGACTTTATTTAAAAGATGGAATATTAACGCCATGGTTGGAGGCCTTGTAGAAACACTTACTTGTTTGTAAACGGGTTGAGTCTCGGCATAGACAATTCTTGTAAACTTCTAGAAAGGCATCAGAGCCATGTGCTTAATTCTTACAATCCACCTTTATCTTTCGATTAACTTGCCGTTGACACGGAAGTTAATTGAGTTACCAAGTGCAAGTATAATAAACCGGATAATTAACTACATATTCAGATCCTCGAGCTAAAGGGTGACTATTTACATTTGAATTTATCTTATCTTTTGCCTAGAAAACTTCTTGGAAATAATCTTGTATTCTATTCAGGAAATCCCATAACTTCAAACTCTAAAGGTTTCTAGTTACTTGGTCTCTATCTTTGCTTACTTCAAAACACTAATCATAGTTCCCTGTAGATTCGACTCCAAACTTAACTGGATTATTACTACAATTTGACCATCTACACTTGGGTGTACACATATTGGATCAAGTCACTTATCATTGCCTCTCCATCTGCCAGTGTTTAACACTCTTGCTATCTCTTTCCTATGGTCAACCTCCCCTTATGTACATTTTATTTCCTTACAATCTGGATCAATTTGACCTGGAGTGGTGATCACAAGGACTCTACTTCCTTGTTCTTATAATTTCTTTTCTTAGAATTCTTAACATGTCTCTAGTTTCCCTTTCTCTCTTTACAAACCAAGCTTTTGTAGCTAGGGCTTTTTTACTTTGTGATTTATGCCTAGATCCCCGAGCTATTGAGGTTTTCCATTTGAACCTCCCAAGGTTATACCCAAGCCTTAATTGATTTTTTCCCCTGGCTAGGGTGGTTTTGTCTTATGACTTTTTTGCTTCCTTTTCCACCTGTTCTTCTGTGTCTACAATTTTTAGGAGTGATTTTACACAAGCTGAGGTCAACTAGTCTCATAGTGATGATGACCTTAACCTAGATGAGGTCTCGAGGGATGAGAACCCCTTAGTTATTGTTAATCCTAAGGGGGATTCTCCCCAGCATCCTAAGGAAGTGATGCTTGACAAGGTCTCTCCCTTGGAACCGACTCCTAAGAAGGCTTCGAAAAAAGGTATCAACAAGAGTCTGGTAAAACCTTTGAGTGATATCCCTTCATTTTCTAGGGACAGTCCATCAAAAGGGAATAGGGCTGAGTGTGGCCTTGATGACATGTTCTGGGTTGCCACCATGGTGCCCAATGGAATTAAAACTTGGGCTCTGTTAGATCACGTATTGTAATTGGCTAATTTCGTGGATTCCATTACTTGTCCTCTAAAGTGGGTTAAATAAAAATGGGTTCCCAAGCACAAAAAAATTATTGTGTTGTAACTCGGTCGATTACCAAAGTCATCTCCTTAGGGAAAACGAAGGTTAAATTTGATCAGTGATAGGCAAAGAAAAGTAAAATTTTGAATTTTGGAAAAGAGTTTTCGAAAACGAGTAAACTAAATAAAAATAATTAAATAAAATTTGTTAATCGTCAGAGCTCATCCCTCCATGAATAGTAATTTTGAACTAATCATATAACTCACTCAAGTTTGTAATCAAACACACTCAAGTAGAAACTATTCAACTAACACCAATGAAAGTGACAAAGGTATATTCAAATTGATTGACTTAATTTTGAAAGAATTACATTCACGTTGGTTGTAGTGATTCCAAGAATTATTCGTGTCAAAACTAATTGACTACAGATAAGTATAAAGATATACATATCACCCGTGTTTTCAATTTTAATTATTCAATCAATAAAATAAATTAATCTTTGAAAAAACCATAGTTAGATCAAAATCCCCATTCACATATAAGACTCCCTATAAAACCCAGAAAAATTAAAATTTTATTAAAAGGAGCAAAACGTCAATTTAGCCGTAACGGTGCAGGTTAAAAACTCAAATTTTTCTAGAACTTGGATGACAAAATGCATCTCATCGATGGATTTGTATCGTGAAATCTAGCTACCCAGTCAATTATCATCGAATTCTGAGAAAGTAATGTTTTTCACGTTTTACGAGACGATCAAGTGTTGTGCGACTAAAATAAACACAATTAGATTTTATTCGCAAAACTTGGAAAATAATTTAAATTTATTTCAATAAAAATACACTAAACTCGACACGAGAAGGTTCAATTGATTCAGAACTAAATTACACCAATCAAAAGAGTGACGTATGGCGTATTGTAGACTAAGTATTTGAAGAGTATAAAAAAGGGAACAAAATCAGATTTCATCCCATTTTGTCTTCATTCATTTTGGAAGAGAGAGAGCGAGAGAGAGAGAGTGAGAAAGAGAGAGAGTGAAAAAGAAGAGAAAATATCAACTTCTTCCACCTTCTTCCTTTGATCTACGATGATCCAACTATTAGATTGCTTTGGGCCAAGAACTAAAGTTGTTCTACGCGACGAGACCTACAAAACTATACTAACGATCATGAGTTTCACCAAAAATTCAAAGATGGAAGTTTTGGGATAAGCTTTGGAAGCTTGATTTGGAATCTTTGGGATTTCTTCTGCTAGAGGTAATTTCTTTCCTAACTAGGTTTATTTTTAACCTAGGGTTGTAAATGAAATGGGTAGAATGATTAGAGATGAATTCTCTTGTTTAGCATACACGTAGTGTAGCTATAATATGGAAAATAGGTATGAGAGTATGTTTAAACCAATTATTACATGATTTGGGTTTGATGAGATTCCTTGATATGAATTTCATGGATAATGTGGTTTGGGCATGCTATGTGTTTACATTGTGCTTTATAGGTGTTTGATAAATTGCCCATGGACGATTAAGCATGTTATTTGAATTCAAAATGGTACAACATGCTTAGTAATGTTATGAAATGTTATCATATGCTTTATGATAAATTGACATTTGAGAAATTTCAGAATGTTGTGAAAATTGGATGTGTTCATTATATGCTTATGATATGAGGAACATGATATTGTTAATTGCAATTGTACATTACATTTGCATTTGCACATGTAGTATCGCATTCGACATGATTGTGGGTGTGGGTGTGCATGATTTTAATCAATCACCACATAGGTGGGTTGATTCGTAGGCTTGAGAAAGTCGCACCAAGGTCTGGTTGAGTCGCACAAAAAATTAAATAGATAAACATATCAGGGGTGAAGAAAGAAGGACTAAATTCTAGATCGGGTGCAAGACCTAGTTAATTCGTTTTATACACGTCCCGGTGGTAAAATTCCAAAAAAGTGTAACGGTGAAAACGGAGCTGCAGGTGGCGTGTCATAGAAATCCATTGATGGTGTGGTATCCCATTGGTGAAATACCATAAATCATTGCCTCACAAAGAAATGAGAAATGAATTAATTAGCCATTGAGTGTACATAACACCAATGACGGGGCCTTGAAATGCTCGGATGTATATGCATGACATGACATGTGTTATGGGAGTCAGTGGAGGGCTCGAATTTGCATTACATACGTGAGTTCCACCTCATGACATGACATGGAAGTGTAGCATTCATTTATGACATGTATGTATTTGAATGAATGTTTGATGTGATGACTTACATGTAACATGTCATACACATATAGGTTGGGAAGTAGCCTCCTTAGGAGATACCCTATTGAGCGTGGCTCACCCTTTGTGGAAAAATATTTTAAATGTTGGACAAGATTCAGTGGATGGCCCTCACTTAGGCCAGTGTTGAAGAAAGAGCCAGGTTGTGGCTTTTGAAGCACATGTTGTAATTTCATGTATATTTGCTTTGGCCTTGTATATGTGATGCCCCTAAAACTGGTGGTCATTTGACAACCCGTTAATCACCTATCAACCCGCAGAAGTACCCATGAATGTCGCATAACCCAACACCATGTCATAACATCCCCTTCACTGGGATTGTAACCAACATAGAATTTGGGCAGAGTCTCCCTTGTACCGAGCACTCCCAAACACATAACCTGTATACACTTTAATCACTTGACCATTCCAAGGTCTAATACACATCAATTGTCCTTAATATTACTCCATTTACACCTTTGAACAAAATGGCTCAAGTCCCAAAGGCTTGACAAAGTTATTTTCAACTTTTAAAAATTTTGGAGGAGCTACCATAGCTCATGTACGTGCTACTGGCAATTGAGCCCTCTACTAACGAGCTACCGATAGATGAGCCTATTGCTCACAAGTTACTATTAGCTGTGAAATGAGCTACTAGTAGCTATCCACTGCACTTGTGATACCAATAGGTAATCAACGTGCTACCAATAGCAGGGCCCAATTTTTCCCTAATTCAATCATTTTTCAATTTCAACTCACCCAATCTCATATAACATTTACCCAAACTCACATAGTATCAAAATTTACACAAAATATAGTCCATATGAGTTCATTTTACAATCATTTATACGACATTACATGTTCAAAACTAATTATACAATTTGGTTTACAAAATGCTATTTAAAGCCACAATCCTATTTCTTCTTAACAAGGTCCCATGTGAGGGCCGTTCACCAGCCCTTGTCCCACATCTGAAATATTATTCCCATAAAGGGTGAGCCACGCTCAATAGGGTATCTTTTAAAGAGGCTACTCTCCTAAAGAGGCATGTCATGCCCTCTAATGCATATATAGTGACCCTCTTATGATCACAACCAATGACGACTCGATGTGCCGCCAACAGTCCATCCCAAGGATGACATCAAACTCCGATATGTCCATGACCCTAAGTTCCACTGATTAGCACAAAATATTGCACAACATTTACACATTTGCACCCTTTTAAACTTGTTTTTGTGGTAAATATGGGAGGAATTGCATTATTTCTACAATTAATGAGGTTTCGGTATGTTTGCAGACAAATAGTTGGAAATGGCATGAGTTAAGCCCCCATTGTAGTGCTTAAATTCAATGGAGAAAAAGGGGAGGCTTGACGATGGCATGGAAGCTAAAAAGACCAAGAATTGAGCAAAACAAGTAAAAACCTACCGATAGGTTTGTTCATAAAACTACCAGTAGATTTTTTCTACTAGAGTTGGTTCTACCGGAAACCTTCTGGAAGGTTTTGGCTACTGGAGTAAAACCTATTGGTAGGTTTGGCCATCGACCTACCGGTAGATTTTGCTCCAAAAATGCCTGAAGCCTGCAACTCAAGTTCTGTCACTTGGGGATCCCATCTATGATTCTCCCACTTATCCCCTGACTTTCCTTACATACATATGTGCTTCCCCACACCTAAGGGTAAACGGAAGCCCAAGCATTTATGAGGAAGAGAGAGAAGAGGGAAGCCTAGGAAGTTGTAGGCCAGGCTTGTCCTAGCCTGCCCAAGCCATCAACTCTGCCTTCTATAGATGGGAAGCCTGTCACACATGCTGGAGGACTTCCATGGACGAGAAGGCAAGAAACACTTCAGCATTGTAAAGTATTGTAGAGCATTGTAGAGAGAGAAGCTCAAGGAGGAAGACAGTTTTAGAGAGAGAAGTTAGATTTTTACATTTCTTCTACCCATTTCACTTGTAATCTTCTGTAAGACTCTTGTAAGCTTCATTTATTGCACTTAATGTCATTTATTTCAAGTGTAAGACAAGTTTAGTCAAGCATCTTTCAATCTACCGTTGTTACATTCAAGTTTTTTCACTTCAAGCTTTTAAAATGAGTTTTAAATGCACTTCTTCATAGTTTAACTTTTCTTGTATTAATTCATGTTCCAATCTTCATTTCTTCACAATGTCTCTTGTTTTATGTATGTTCTTGCATTAAATATAAGTAGCTAAGCTTTAAGTTGTCTAATCCAAGGTAGAATTCCTCTTGGGTATGCTAAATCAACTCTTTTTCATTCTTCCTCGTAGTGTTAGATAGTTTGGTTTGACTAGGTTGAGTGTGGATGTGATTATGATATCTTGATACACCGTAGACTTATCACGGGGTATGCTTGAATCATCACCTTTGTTTTAGTCCCTCACTTCCTAACGTTTAGGCACCATTGGGAGAATGTCTTGAGTTGATTTGGTATTCCCATTGGAATGACCTCTTCGGATTAGCCAACACTTGTTTCCATTTCATTTCATCAAGAACATAACTCATCAAAACACATATTCAAAAGATTTTACAATTTTCTATTTTCACAAAATCACCTTCAACACAATTCACCTTTCTTCCCTAAGGAGACGACCTTGAAATACCAATTTCAAGTAAAACACGACACTCGAAAGTCTCTCTACGCTTGGGGAGCACTTTTGTACACACACACACATATTTTCATTCACA